ACCTAAATCATCAAAACAAACGAAAAAACAAAACATGTTTTTTTAAATAAAAAAAAACAACAACAAAAAAAAACACTCTATATAGAAAACGTCATTTTTTTGGTATAGGGTTGATAATAGATAACATGGGCAAATAAAAAGTTGTGATGCTGCTAATTATTGGTGATAAAAAGAGAAAAGCCCAAATATTCAGGAGGTAAATCTATTATTTTGATAATTTTTTATAACTCTTGTGTGCTATTTTACTTTAGATGTTCCAGTGAACTGTTTGATAAGAGAAAAACCAGAATGGATGTTTTTTTTTGCACAGTACTTGATCTACCTTCTCTAACTCTATGTTGATTTTCTGTTTCTAAAATCTTTCTCTGAAAAGAAACATAAAGTTTTGATTGTGTTTTACCAAGAGACAATAAAATGCTTTTATATCTTAAGTTTGATTTTATATTGTCAAATATTTTTCAGAAAATGAACCTCAACAAAGAAGATCTGAATCTTAAAACATTTACTTTCTCCAACATAGAGCACCAGTAACGGTTCTAGATCAATTTGTGTTTACATGGAGGAACAGGACAAAAACAACGAAGCAAAAAGAAAATACCAAACTCAATACCCTAATTTATTGTTAATATTCATACTGAACAATTTTAATATTAACTGAGGCACAGAACCAAGTAGTTTCTTGTGACTCTGCAGCTGCAGGTTACAAACTCCTGATCTGTCAGATAAAATCTGATTGTATCTCAGTTCTGCTGAAGATTAGTTTTTAACTTATTGTTCAGGTAAAACTTTGAAGGTAAAAATTAAATTGGTCCAATTTAACAATTTGTTGTATTTCTGTGTAATTTAATGTCATTTTAAGAAATAGATTTAGTTTTATCTCTTCACTCAGATTTATTACCTCAGAAATGAAGGGAAATATTTTTCACAGTTCAACTGATTGATTTATTGTCTTATTGCATTCAGTGACTATCATTAGTGAACTGTAAGAAACAAAAAAGTCTCCAATTTACTGTAAAATTCCAGCTGGTGTATATTTCCAATAAAATTCAGGTAGCCCCAGCTGCCAGTAATCTCTTGTAATTTAAATGTGTTTTTCATTTGTTTTTGTTTTTTTTTCACAGTGTGACTAAGAACACAGAAAATCATTAAAAGTTATTGCACAACGGAGGAGATCAAACTTATTAGTTTGTATGTAGTTGGTGTATAGTTTAGCAATTTCAGTGGTTTAATAGTTCTTTAACTTTTCTACTAACAAACTTTTAAGTTTTAGCTGATAAACTCTGGTTGACTTGATGCAATTACCCACAAACATCTTCAGGATAAGGAATACTGTAGATTATTAGAAATAAAGAAAGTTGTAACCTACCTTCAGTCTGTAGCTTCAGTTTCTTTCTTTGTTTCTGGACTTGATCAAACCTTTTTGAGGCTCTTTCAGTCAAATCTCTCATTTCTTTTCTCAGAGTTTCTCCTTGACTTCTGTCAGCAGAACAGTGTCTGAATCCATTGTTTGTAATCAGGGTCTCAATTTTCTCTAAAAGCTTCTTGACTTGATCTCTATCTTCTCTGTTACTGATGTTGAGAAAATGTTTTTTGTTTCCACATTGTCGAAGAATCCACTGCAGGACTGGACTTCTTCTGATTTTAGATTTTATCTTTTCATCACTACATGGAGCGACTGCAGTGAACAGAATGATGGTGTGACTGAAAACATCTGCATTGAAAATCTCTAAGTGCTCCTTTAGTGACGCTTTAAGATGCTGAGATAAATGTGGATCAACAGGAATGACCAGAAGAAAGACATGAGGTCCTGGGGGACACAGATGGACACTGTTCTGGATTTCCATCTGATCCAGTTTTGGAGTTTCTTCTTTAGGATAATTCCAGTACCAGCCTGGAGTATCAACCACTGTGACTCGTCTGCCGAACACTTCCTGCTGCCTCGCTTCACTCTGAGCTGTTCTTCTGCTGGTGTCAAAAACATTTTGACCCAGAATGATATTTCCAGCAGAACTTTTACCACTGTGAAGGTCATTATATCTTCCTCCAATCAATACAATCCTCAACTCTGTATCAGGGGGACTTTGTGCTGCAAGTGAAGATAACAAGTTGATACACCTGCTTTATTTATACCAGCACAGAATATACTTTCTAAGTCAACTGTATATTCCTTTTGGAATATTTTTCTAATAAAGTAAATATCAATAACATTCACACAGACAATCATATTTAAAAAAAAAATTAAAACAAAAATAACTAAAAGCAGAAGGAGACATTTTGTCCAACTTCCATCTCTTGCATAAATTCAAAGTCTTTGAATTCAATAAATTCAGACACTATAATGAAAGTTTATAAAAGCATAATCCAAGATAGGACAAAGTTTTATGAAAACGTCACAGACCTGAGCTGTAAATCTCAGCCAAAGCAGCCATTTTGTTAGATTCACTCTGCCGATGTTTCTGCTTGTTGTTTGTTCTCACAAAACCTGTTTCTAAACGAAACTCAAAGAATGTAAAGGTGGATATTGCGCTTTATGATTTATAAAGTCAAACATGGTCAGCGATCGCCATCTGCTGGGCAACAAGAGTCATTGCATTTTTACTCTGGCAACCTAAAACTTCTTTGCACAGCAAATTTAAAACACCAGCAGTAAAATGCTCTGCAGTATGCACCAACCATTGTAACATAAAACAAAGATTAAAACAAAAATATATTCATAAATATCAAATTGTTTTTACAATAAAACTGAAACTAAAGAAATAAATAAGCAAATGGGTTTTATATCAATAAAACAGAATAAACAGAATAAAACCCACTGAGTTGAATAAAAAATAATTGCATTTTATTCATTAGAATTATTAGTAATATTTAATTAAACAGTGAAGCATTACATAGTTGTTTGAAATGTTGAACAGGGCAATCTGAAGAAGGAACAAGTGTCATAAGCTGCAGTGGATGTTGGTGAGGGAAATGCAGCAGACCCAGGTTGAAGTGAGAGGAAGATGATTTTAATGATGACAATCCAAAAACAACACAGTCCAGAACAAACCAAAAACCAGGCAGCACAGCTGAGCAGAAGTTAAGACTCAACACTGGTAGCTCTAGTCAAACGAATGGACGTCCATGAAAACAGGTACAACTCTAGATAGAACTGAACAAACGACAAGGACCCGACGAGGAACAAAGACACCGGTGGGATTAAATAATCACAGAATGAGACACATCACAGAACAATCCAGCTGAGACAGGACAACACAAGACTGAAAAACAAACACAGAGAAACACAGATCCTGACAACAACTCTTGTTGACAATAAGATCTATCAGTTGTCATGAGATTATGCTATTTTATTTGCTTCTGTCACTCAGTTATTGCTCTATTTTCATTTCAAACTCTCAGTTTGTTTTTTTCTTTTTCCAAATTCCATCTGGAGTTTGAATCTAGTCCAGATTGACCTGCTGGAGTAAAAGGAAAATAAAACGTTTCACATCTGAAAATAAACTAAAACAACATCATGGAGGCTGTTTCACCCCAGACAGATCAACTCAATTTAACAGATGTTTTTAAAATGTCGAATGCTTTAATACTCTGAAGTTATTTAAACGGGATTTTAGCTGTTATTTCAGTTTAGCAAGTAACATTCAGGATGTTTACTGGCCCTTCATTAGATAATAATTTATAGTGAATGTAACTCAGTTCCAATAACAAGCATTCAATAAAATCAGAAACTTTATTTTCAGCTCTTAAGAGCAAGTATCAAATCAAGAAAGATTATTGATATGATTTGATACAAGCTCTTAAAAGCTGAAATTAAAGTTTTCAGCTTTAACAATGAAAGATTATCAATATGATATCTGTTCTTTACATACTTATGCTATGGCTGAATACATTACTGATTGATTTAAAAGCAGGAAATTCAAGCTTGAAAATTCAAACTTGAAAATGTTTTAGTTAGAAAAACTCCCTCAGAATACAACTTTATGATGTAGTCATGTGATATCATGACATGACTACATCATAAGATTTATCATATTTATTCTTATTGTTCTTATTGCTGGAATAAATGGGAAGTCAATATCTATGAGGATAAGAAATACCCTTTATTATGTGTTTTCAGCGTGCTGCTTCCAACATAAAGGTTGCGTCATAGATTAAACTGATTGATTGATTGAAATAAAACAAAGTTTGTCATAACAAATGGACCTCAGTTCCCTAAGATCAGACACTCAAACAATTAGCAACTATAATTTCAGTTTTTAAGAGTTCAACTCAAACCAAAAAGGATTTTTGATATTACATCTGTTCATACCTCTGCTATCACTGATTATATTAAGGAGAGATTTACAATGAGGACACTAAAGCTTAAAATATCATACCTGAAATAGTCTTTAGTTTAAAAAAAAGATAGCTCTAAAGCTAATTTCAGAATCAGCTCCTCTTTCCTTTTTCATCAAAAAAAATCATTTAACCCTTTAATGATCAAATAATGAGGTCAAATAATCTTCTTAAAATTATTATTCCAATCTTTGCACAACTAATTCAGAAAAGATTATTTTTTAACTACATCTTTAAGAATGTTAAATGAAAATCTAATGTAAGGTACAAAACACAAAAGGAAGGTACAGCATGTTCAATATAAACTAACAATCAGATGTTATTACTGATATGTATCGTCTCTCAAATCTCAATCAGCTGTTAATTACATTTACTCTGAAGTTTCTTCAATGAGACAAAAAAATCCTGACCAATATTGATCACACACACAGAAAGTAGAATGGGATCTACATCAAGATGATGAAAACTATTTAAATATTAAGTTAAATATATATAGAACAATGTAAGATGTTCACATATTAGAAAGAAATATGAAAATGTTTTACTCCTTTAGAGAAATATTAGCCATCTAGTGTCAACATGCCTAAATTTTTTGCTGATGAGTTAAAAAAGTACTTTTTTAAATGCATGTATTTTTTTACACATCCTTAACAGAAGTGAGTTCTTTGTTATTTTCCTAAATTTGCATGTTGACTTCACTCAATTTCAGGATTTTCATCAAGGTTTTCCATGTAAGTTTCTGAGAAAGAAATGCTGCTGATCCCAGAGCTGATCTCTGACTCTCTCACTCTGTTGTTCAGCCATTCAGCAACTTGGTTCTGTCCTCGTCGTCTCTGTTTCTCTGAAATGCTCCCACATTCTGAGGCAACATCTCCACTCACTGAAACATACATTGAAGAGTTTTATTCAATAGAACAAAGCAAGTTTAAACTCAACATTAAATTATTATTACATGAAACTTACTGTCATGACATTCATATTTGCTCTGTGCTGTTTCTACATGAAGCAACGTTTGTTCTTCTGGTTCCTTTGCTAAAGCTTTCATCATTCTCTCTATCAGCTCCTGTTCTCTCCTGTTCCATTCTTGTTCTGTAAGTGTCTGTTCTTTTGGTGGCCTGAGAAAACTGAAAACATTTTCTTTTTTGCATTCAACTGAGAAGCATTCTTTGTTTTGTTTTACCATATTAACAATCTTTTGGAAAAGCTCTTTGATTTGAACAGAACAATCAGAACTGTCAGGGTTTATAACATGGTATCTGTTCCCACATTTCTCCAGAAGCTCCTGAAGCTCCTTTCCCTCTCTAACAATGTAATTCTCTACAGGGAGATAATTGATCCAGTTTCCCCAGGGAAACAGCACCATGCAGTGTCTCCACACTCTCTCTGTTAATGGCTTCAAGATCTCCTCCAGAGCTTTGAGATCTTTCTCTGTGAAAGATCTGATGATGGGAACAAGCAGGAGAAAAACAAGAGGTCCAGGAGAAAACATGGAGACACTGTGGAGAACTTCATCTTTGATCCAGTCAGGTGGTGTTGGGTCTGAGAACCAGCCTGGTGTTTCAACAACTGAGACTTTGACTCTTTCAAAGTTTCCTTCATGTTTCACACATGTTGCAGATTCATGATCTTGGTATTTCTGAAATGATTAAAAACAAATAAAAATAAATCTATTTCTGGACATGATTTACTCACTGGACACTTACAGTCTGTATGTCAGACTGTCTGAAATTTATTTTGCTTAGTCATGTTGTGTTACCTTTTTCAGCCAAGCTCTGTCAAAGGTCATTCTAAATTTGTCATTGAACAGAATCATGTTTCCAGCTGTACTTTTTCCTGAACATTTATGACCAACAAGAACAATCCTGATGTCAGTGATTGGATGACTCTCCCCTTTAAATCAAAGAAAAAAATACAGTAATGTTTTAAATAATAAAATATTCATATTACATGACTACATTAGAAAATATATCATATTTATTACCTACGTACCTTCAAACAGTTCTCTCATTACTCTCGTCTTTCTATCATTGATCGTCTTCAACCTTTTGACCGTCTTGTCTTCAGTCTCTCTCTTGGTTTCTAGCTGTGCTGCTCGGTCCAGATCCACTTCATAGTAAGGATCTTCATTTCCTGCCCACATCTCTTCAATCTTCTTTTTCATTGAACAGAATCATGTTTCCAGCTCTACTTTTCCCTGAACATTTATGACCAACAAGAACAATCCTGATGTCAGTGATTGGATGACTCTCACCTTTAAATCAAAGAAAAAAATACAGTAATGTTTTAAATAATAAAATATTCATATTATATGACTTCATTATAAAACGTGTCCTATATATTACGTACCTCTAAGCAGTTCTCTCATTACTCTCATCTTTCTCTCATTGATCGTCTTCAACCTTTTGACCATCTTGTCTTCAGTCTCTCTCTTGGTTTCTAGCTGTGCTGCTCGGTCCAGATCCACTTCATAGTAAGGATCTTCATTTCCTGCCCACATCTCTTCAATCTTCTCCAGTAGTTCCTTTACCTGAGTCTTATCACTGTGGTCCTTGTTGTTCAGGACATGATATCTGTTCTCACACTTGTTCACTATCCACTGCAGACCTTCTTCACTCTCTATTCGCTCCTCTACAGTCTTCACTCCTAACCAGTCTCCATAGGTAAACAGAACAAGTGTGTGTTTCCAGATATCTTCTCTAAACAGACTCATGTGTTCCTGAACAGATCTCAGATATGATTTATCAACATTGATTGCCAGAGGAACAACTAGCAGCACAGCATGTGGTCCTGGAGGACACAGATTCACACTGTTCTCTATTTCCAGTTTATCCATCTCACTGGTTTCCTGAAGGGTGTTGATGCAGAACCATCCAGGAGAATCAACCACTGTGAGCCGCCTTCCTTCAACCACACCATGACTGATTTCACTGTGGGTTGTTCTTTTGTCACCATTTTCATTAACATTAAACATCTTTTTTCCTAGAATGATGTTTCCTGCAGAGCTTTTGCCAGCAAATGATCCTCCAATCATCAATATTCTCAAATGATCTGGAGGAACTTTTCCACCTAAACCAACAAAATAAACGAACAAACAAAAATGAAAGTAATTTTTTTTAACTCAATATAGAAAACTTTATGTTGATAATGCATAACATGGGTGAATAAAAAGTTGCAAAGCTGCAAATTATTGGTAGGAAAAAAGAAAAGCCGAAAATATTCAGGAAGTGAGTTTATTATTTAGATCATTTTAAGTAACTCTTGCATCCTATTTCACTTCAGATATCCAGTGAAATGTCTGATGAAAGAAAACAAAAATATATTTAGTTTTATCTCATCACTCAGATTCATCACCTCATCAGTGAAGGGAAATATTTTTCACAGTTCAACTGAATGATTTGTCTTCTTGCATTCAGTGACTCTCATTAGTGAAATGTAAGAAAAAAAAATTTATATTTATGATGAAATTCTGGTAACCCCAGCTGCCAGTAATCTATTGTAATTTAAATGTGTTTTTTGTTTGTTTTGTTTTTTTCCACAGTGACTAAAAACACACAAAATCATTAAAAGTTATAGTACAACGGAGGGGATTAAACTTACTAGTTTGTATGTAGCTGGTGTATAGTTTAGTAATTTAAATGGTTTAATAGTTCTTTAACTTTTCTACTAACAAACTTTTAAGTTTTAGCTGATAAACTCTGGTTGACTTGATGCAATTACCCACAAACATCTTCAGAATAAGAAAAACTGTGGCTTATTGGAAATAAAGAAAGTTGTAACCTACCTTCAGTCTGTAGCTTCAGTTTCTTTCTTTGTTTCTGGACTTGATCAAACCTTTTTGAGGCTCTTTCAGTCAAATCTCTCATTTCTTTTCTCAGAGTTTCTCCTTGACTTCTGCCAGCAGAACAGTGTCTGAATCCATTGTTTGTAATCAGGGTCTCAATTTTCTCTAAAAGCTTCTTGACTTGATCTCTATCTTCTCTGTTACTGATGTTGAGAAAATGTTTTCTGTTTCCACATTGTTGAAGAATCCACTGCAGGACTAGATTTCTTCTGATTTTAGATTTTATCTTTTCATCACTACATGGAGCGACTGCAGTGAACAGAATGATGGTGTGACTGAAAACATCTGCATTGAAAATCTCTAGTTGTTGCTTTAGTAACGCTTTAAGACGTTGAAATAAATATAAAGCAACAGGAATGACCAGAAGAAAGACATGAGGTCCTGGGGGACACAGATGGACACTGTTCTGGATTTCCATCTGATCCAGTTTTGGGGTCTGTTCTAGTGGATAACTCCACCACCATCCTGGAGTATCAACCACTGTGACTCGTCTACCAAACACTTCCTGCTGTCTTGCTTCACTTTGAGCTGTTCTTCTGCTGGTGTCAAAAACATTTTGACCCAAATGATATTTCCAGCAGAACTTTTACCACTGTGAAGGTCATCATATCTTCCTCCAATCAACACAATCCTCAACTCTGTATCAGGGAAACTTTGTGCTGTAAGGAGAGATAGGAAGTTAGAAACACCTACTTTTATGATACCTGCACAGAATATACTTTCTAAGTCAACTGTATATTCCTTTTGGAACACTTTTTTTCTAATAAAGTAAATATTTATAACATTAAAATGAACTTAAAACAAAAATAACTAAAAGCAGAAGGAGACATTTTGTCCAACTTCCATCTCTTGCATAAATTCAAAGTCTTTGAATTCAATAAATTCAGACACTATAATGAAAGTTTATAAAAGCATAATCCAAGATAGGACAAAGTTTATGGAAAGTTTATGGAAAGTTTTATGAAAACGTCACAGACCTGAGTTGTAGATATCAGTCGAAGCAGCCATTTTGTTAGAGTCACTCTTTTACTTCCTAAGCGTTAGTAAAAGAGTGCAAAGGTGGACATTGTGATTTATGGTTGGTTGATAAAGTCAAACATGGTCAGAGATCGTCATCTGCTGGGGAACTAGAGTCATTGTATTTCTACTCTGGCAACCTGACATTTCTTTGCATAGCAAATTTACACAGTCTTCACTCCGAACTAGTTAACTATTGTGTGTTTCCATATTTCTTCTCTAAACAGACTCATATTTTTCTTGACAGTTTTCTTATATTTTGTTTATTGCAGTTGCCAGGAAAATTACGAGCAGTAAAGCATGTGGTCCTGGAGGACATAGATGCACACTATTTTCTATTTTCAGTTTTTCCATCTCATTGGTAACCTGAAGAGTGTTGTTGTAAAACCATCCAGAAGAATCTACCACTGTGAGTCTTTTGTCTTGAAACACACCATGGTTTATTTCGCAGCGTGTTATTCTTCTGTTTCCATTTTTATTAACATCAAAAGCATTCTTTTCAAGAAGTATGTTTCCTGCTGAGGTCCTTGCTGCCCACTGTGCACCAACTATTACTAGTTTTAAATGTGGTAGAACTTTTCCACCTACAGAAGACACAAACATTTATTTATTTAAAATGATAATTTCTCAAATCTTATCTAAAAATAACCTAACATGAATTGTTTCTTTGCCTTTTTCCATTTGGTCTACTTTATATCACAATCTGTTCCTAGGACTGTGCTCTTCTGGACAAAGAGAGGCTTTTTCTAATCTGCTACAGCAATGATCTCACCATAGGAGTCACATCCTCAGAGAGCTCAGCTCTCCCAAAAGAAACAGTGTTCTTTATGTCAGCATCTATTGCCACTGGGTTACAATATGATTCTTATGATTCTCATATGCACTATTTTGTAATACAAGAAACTACAGAAGGGTAGAATATTATAGTTTTCTGCTCCATTCCTGCACTAGATTCCTTAACTGGACTCAGCAGCCAACTGAGCTGGTCACAAGTGTTGGTTAGGGCTGCAAGGAAAAGTTAATTTTTTTGGAGTAAATACAGTTGTTTATATGTATAGGTAGGTAGGTTTGCGTGTGTAACAAAAAGTACAAAAGATCTTTTCCTACCTTCTGTGATACTGACGTTGAGAAAATGTTTTCTGTTTTCACATTGTTGAAGAATCCACTGCAGGGTTGGACTTGTTTTGATTTTGGATTGCAACTTTCTTTCACTATATGGAGGAACAGCAGTGAACTGAAAACACTGGTATCAAAAAGGTCCAAGTGTTGCTCTTGGGATGGTTTGACAAGCTAAGATAAATGTAAGGAATGACCAGAAGAAAGACATGAAGTCCCAGAGGACACAGGTGGACACTGTTCTGGATTTCTAGCTGATCCAATTTTGGGGTGGTTTCTCTAGAATAATGCCACCACCAGTGTTACCTCCCCAACGCAGTCTAGGGGTTTTTGAGAAGGGGATTGCAACAATAAAACCAGGGAACCGATGAAGAGACCAGGAGGGTAAAAGCAACATTTTATTCCTTAGAAAATAATTTAAAGCAGTCTTAAAGGGAAAGAAAAAGAAACTAAAGAAAAAACACAGGGAATTCACAACCAAAAGCCAGGGTTTCAAGCAGACAAGAAATCCTCTTTCACAGCACACCAAGCTGCAGCACACAAGCTGCCCAATTGGCCAAGAACAACAGTTTCCCAGCTAGCATCATACCCTGCCAATTAAGAGGCAGAGTGAAACCAGCTGGGCCTGCTAAACCTGCTAGAGCACCACAACAGCCTGAAATCCAACATGCAGCCACCACTGCATGTAACAACCAACCTGGAGTATCAACCACTGTAACTTGTCCACCAAACACTTCCTGCCGCTTCGCTTCACTCTGAGCTGTTCTTCTGCTGGTGTCAAAAACCTTTTGACTCAGGATGTTTTCAGCTGAGCTTCTGCCACTGTTGATGCCATTTCATTCTCTTCCTCCTATCAACACAATCCTCAGCTCTGACACGCTACGGCTTTGCCCTGTCAAAGGAAAGTAGACGTAACTTAAATACAGTGTTCACAGTCAAAAATACTTTTCTTTTCATTTCAAAATTTAATCCCTAAGTTTATCAATAATAATCCACACACAGTCAAGAAACTACCAGTAGGATTGTGGAAATATTTCTGAATAAAGTGCTTGTTTCAAATAAGTGCTAAATATAAAAATATACGTATATTATTCAGACATACAACAACTATACATTATATAGCATATAACATCAGAATAATATCAAGTGCAAACAATATATCTGTTTTATGAAAGTGTTACTAACCAGCAATAGAAGCCTCTGTTTTTTTCAGCCATAGTTCAAAGTCAACAGCTTTCAGAGGTTTTTCTCTTATTTTGTGCTGAAATGGAAGTTGAAACCACAATTGACCCTTTTTCACAGGGTCAATCCAACCCAGTGAAAAAGAAAACGTTTGCCATCTTCTGGACAAATTGAGAAAGTATCTCAAAACTTCCCTATTGCCAAAAGTTTCTTATAAAAGCTTGTTTTTTGCTAAATATAAATAGTTAGAAAGTGGCAATTTTCTAACAACCCCCTCACCCTGCAAATAATACAAGAGAGTTTGTGTAGTAAGGTAATAGGCCAAAATAATTTTTTATTGTCATTATGATTTTACATACATTTTACATACTGCATACATTGAATATTAAGATGTTTTTATTCATGTTTTATATTTAAAACAGTAGAAAATAGTGCTTCTGTAGATAGATTATTTTTAAAGAGCAGAATGGAGGTTGCTCTACAGAACACACAAAAAACATTTGACATGTTTGTTAGTAATCTTAAAGAGTGAACAAAGAATAAATCTAAAAATTTTATATATTTTCTCAATCAAATGATTTGAAGCAGATTTCCTAAAAGGGAAATCTAACTATGCTTTTGTTTCATTTTTCCATAGTGCTTTTATCAGAAAAAAAAACTAAGTGTCTTAAGTTTTAAATATTTACAAGGCTCATTCAAATGACACAAGTAAAATTCAATACAATAATAAAAATAAGAGGATGCGATAGTGATTTGATTTATTGTCAACATTTGAGAGCTGAAAAGAACTATAAAAATATTAATTGACATAAAAAATACTTTCCAGAATCATTTTAAAAGTAAACTCTTTCCATTAGAGAAGAGTTTTACTCTGCATCACCAGAGCAGACCAGAACCTTTTTCCCAGAGCTGATCCCAGCTGGTCTTGCATTGTGCCGCAGCCATTCAGCAACCAGGTGATATAATCGGAGATTCCCAAACTGTACAATTCTCCAACAATCTTCACTCACTGAAACAAAAGAGGCAACTTTATTTCCATATTTCATTGTATCTGCCTGATTATTTTTATTGTATTTGTTTAGTCCAGCAATTTCTGGCATTCACAGAAATTGGTTCTCTATGACACTAACTTTTTTCTAAATAAAACCTCATTGTTATACAAAAAGTATGCAGTAAAATCCATGAGATTATATAAGAACATAAAGTTTCAATTTGATTAAATTATACTTACTGTCGGGAATTAAGTCCTCGTCCATGCTACTCGACGTTTTTGTGACAGGTACCGTTGGTTCCTCTGGTTCATTTGACAAAGCCTTCAACATTTTCTCTATCAGGTTCTGTTCCCGTTTGTTCCACTCGTCTTCTGTCAGCAAGCGTTTTGTTTTTGCCGAGGTAGATTCAGAATCCGAACATTTTCTTTTCTGATGTTTTGTTGTGAACCAATCCTTGTTTTGTGTCACCATGACAAACATTTTTTGAAACAGCTCTTTCAACTGGACCGGATCATCAGAATGTTTGGGACTTAGAACATGGTATATGTTCCCACATTTCTCCAGAAGCTCCTGAAGCTCCTTTCCCTCTCTAACAATGTAATTCTCTACAGGGAGATCATTGATCCAGTGTCCCCAGGTAAACAGCACCATGCAGTGTCTCCACACTCTCTCTGTTAATGGCTTCAAGATCTCCTCCAGAGCTTTGAGATCTTTCTCTGTGAAAGATCTGCAGATGGGAACAAGCAGGAGAAAAACATGAGGTCCAGGAGAAAACATGGAGACACTGTGGAGAACTTCATCTTTGATCCAGTCAGGTGGTGTTGGGTCTGAGAACCAGCCTGGTGTTTCAACAACTGAGACTTTTACTCCATCAGAGTTTCCTTCATGCTTCACAGATGTTGAAGTTTCTCTCTGATCTTGTTGGTTCTGAAATTATATAAAGCAAACAAATAATATAGATTGAGACACATTAAAAATTTAACGTCTGTAATCAATTAACTGCAATTTTTTGCATCTTTATATAAAAATAATACAGGCAAAATAAGCAAGATTTCACATAAAAAAACAGCTTTTTCTGCTAAATGGACTAAACAGACATATTAACCCAATGACAATACTTGTTATTTTTAATGCTTTTTAGTTTATTCAATCATAATAATGATGCAAAGTGCAACACTATTATGCCAAGTGTTTCAGGAACTGCTGATTGTTTTCGCAATTTGTTTGACAATAATTCTTTAAATTTGGACTCTGACATCAGCATTGCCTCAGGACGCATGTGCTTGCTGCAACATGTTGATGGTATTTTAGGCTGGAATAGCTTCTGTTATAGGCCAACTCATTTTACACAACTGATACAAAACAATAGTCTTTTCTATCTTTTCTATTTTTGAAGCAAAAATTAACCCCCAAAGAGACAACAAGGATAATTTTGTCAGGTTTGTCGTTTGGGGTCGTTGCTGGTACGTCACATTTAAAAGTGAAGAAACAAAATAGAAAGATCCCAGCTTGGGACTTTTATGGAAATTTGTTTCCACTACTCTGATGAAAAAAAAATGTGTATCCTGAATATATATATATATATATATATATATATATATATATATATATATATATATATATATATATATATATATATATATATATATATATATATATAGACATATATGTATATATATGTATATGTATATGTGTATACATATATATATATATATATATATATATATATATATATATATATATATATATATATATATATATATATATATATATATATACTATAGTGTATATACATTCAAGCAGATCTTTAATGTATTGTGGTGCTAACCACAAAGAAACAGCAGTATTTTAAAATCTATTCTCAGAGCTGCAGGGAGCCAATGTAAAGACTCTAGAGAGGTGATGAGGTCTATGTTCTTGGTTTTAGTGTCAAATGTTTTGCTTGCATGTTGTGTTACCTTTTTCAACCAAGCTCTCTCAAAGTTTATATTGAAGCTCTTGTTGAAAAGAACCAGATTTCCAGCTCTACTTTTTCCTGAGCATTTCTGTCCAATAAGAACAATGTTGATTTCAGTGACTTGCTGTCTTTCATCTGTAAAACAAACAAAAATCACAGTAATGGTTTAAATACTAAAACATATATTTTATGCCTATATCATAAAACGTGTCCTATATATTACGTACCTTCAAACAGTTCTTTCATTACTCTCATCTTTCTATCATTGATCGTCTTCAACCTTTTGACCATCTTGTCTTCAGTCTCTCTCTTGGTTTCTAGCTGTGCTGCTCGGTCCAGATCCACTTCATAGTAAGGATCTTCATTTCCTGCCCACATCTCTTCAATCTTTTCCAGTAGTTCATTTACCTGAGTTTTATCACTGTGGTTCTTGTTGTTCAGGACATGATATCTGTTCTCACACTTGTTCACTATCCACTGCAGACCTTCATCACTCTCTATTCTCTCCTCTACAGTCTTCACTCCTAACCAGTCTCCATAGGTAAACACAACAAGTGTGTGTTTCCAGATTTCTTCTCTAAACAGACTCATGTGTTATTGAACTGATCTCAGATATAATGAATTCATGACAGTTATCAGATCAATAACCAGCAGCACAGCATGTGGTCCTGGAGGACACAGATTCACACTGTTCTCTATTTCCAGTTTATCCATCTCACTGGTTTCCTGAAGAGTGTTGATGTGGAACCATCCAGGAGAATCAACCACTGTGAGCCGCCTTCCTTCAACCACACCGTGGCTGAGTTCACAATAAGTTGTAGTCCTATTACTTTTAGTAACAGCAAAGTCATTTTTTCTCAGGATGGTGTTTCCTGTTGAGCTTTTACCAGCACATGATGCTCCAATCATCAATATTCTCAAATGGTTTGGAGGGACTTTTCCACCTAAACCAACAAAACAGAATAAAAAGAAAAACTACTCAGTTTCTCCATTCCAAAAAAAGCTTGCAACTTAAGTTTTTTGAGAGCAGGGTCGATAACAGAAAATAAAATGACTCAACATCTCTATGTTAGCTTTCTGTGTCTGAAAATTTTACCTGGAAAGAAACTCAATCTTCTGGTTGTGTTTTACCAGGAGTCAAGATTTAGTAGTATAATTAAATTGTTCTTTTTCATATATCCTAGTCTTATTGGAGGTTTGTTTTCTTCTAAAATTAGTAAAAACATTTTTTGAAATGACAACACATTACTTTGGGCCCATCTTTGCCTTATGCAAAGACAGGCACTTTGCTTTGGTTTGTCGTACACATTGAAAATTTCTGACCGGCTGCCTCTTTGGAGGTTCTTGGAGAATTATTCTAAAGTGTTGTGCAGTCTGACACAGCTTGCAGCAAACTGACCAGGTTGGTGCAGATAGCTCTATACAGTATTTAATGTGTTCTTTTCATAGCAAGTCTTGCATCCTTATATACTCATACACGAACCTCACAATAAGAGCTGTGCAACAAAGAAAATATCCTTTGTAGCAATTTAAATGCACCTTAACGATAACATAAAACATAAAACCACAAGAAATTAAAACCAAAATATGTTAACTACTGGAAACAAATATGAACTTCTAATCACTTCAGTGACACATTTTCAAAAAGCTAAAATTCAACAAGTGGAGGGTTACAAGTGCTATATTAATAGAAGATGTAATAATGTTTATTACAGGAAATAAACATTATTTCCTGTCACAAAGAGAACTGTGACTTTTTATAAATATAGAAAAGAAGCTTGTGACCTACCTGAAATCAGTTCATTGAGTTTCTTTCTTTGCTTCTGGACTTGATCAAACCTTTTTGAGGCTCTTTCAGTCAAATCTCTCATTTCTTTTCTCAGAGTTTCTCCTTGTCTTCTGTCAGCAGAACAGTGTCTGAATCCATTGTTTGTAATCAGGGTCTCAATTTTCTCTAAAAGCTTCTTGACTTGATCTCTATCTTCTCTGTTACTGATGTTGAGAAAATGTTTTCTGTTTCCACATTGTTAAAGAATCCACTGCAGTACTGGATTACTACTGATTTTAGAGTCTATCTCTTCATCACTACATGGATCAACTGCAGTGAACAGAATGATGGTGTGACTGAAAACATCTGTATTTAAAATCTCCAAGTGTTGCTTAAGTGAGGCTTTGACACGTTGAGATAATTGTAAGCTGATAGGAATGACCAGAAGAAAGACATGAGGTCCTGGGGGACACAGATGGACAGTGTTCTGGATTTCCATCTGATCCAGTTTTGGGGTCTCTTCTAGTGGATAACTCCAGCACCATCCTGGAGTATCAACCACTGTGACTCGTTTACCAAACACTTCCTGCTGTCTTGCTTCACTCTGAGCTGTTCTTCCGTTGGTGTCAAAAACATTTTGATCCAGAATGATATTTCCTACTGAACTTTCACCACTGGGACTTTCGTCTGATCTCCTTCCTCCTATCAACACAATCCTCAACTCTGTCGCAGGTTGACTTTGTACTGTAAGGAGAGTTGAGGCATTATTGGAATATAGTTTGCAAATGTTTTTTGTGTAAGCCACCTCAGAATACAAAATCTTTTTGTATTGTACATTTCCATCAGAATAATGTTGAAATGAAACATAAATAGCTTGACAAAATTAAAATCCCAACATTAGAAAATATAGAAAAACAAAGGAAGCCATTTTGTCCCATCTGCTCAGTGAAATCAAATCTCTGAATTCAACATATTCAGCCAGTATAACTACAATTTATAAAAGTGTAATCCAAAATGAAAAAAGGTCTAAAAGAGAGTTTTATAAAAATTCACTAACCTGGGTTGGAAATAATTCCTGAAGCAGACATTTCTTTACAGTGAAATACAGCTGATGTTTTTGCTTGTTGTTCTCACTCAACTTGTTCCTAAATGAAAGCAAATTGCAGAGAGGATTGTTGTGATTATTGTTGGTAAAGTTAAACACAATCACAAATTGACATCTGCTGGACAACAAGGATAACTGCAGGTCTGTTGTGGTTTTCAGGATTAAACAAATTCCAATAAAACTGCTGAGCTTAGAAAATTAACTAATATATATGTTAATAAAAACTGAATAAAATTTGCGAAATCCAAAGCACAATCAAAATTTACTCCTTTCAAAGCATTTGCTTTGTCTTTGTTTTCATGGGGGAACAGGACAAAAACATTGAAACAAAACAAACAAAGCTTAGTGCACAATTTTGTTGTTTAATATTAAACAACGATAATACTGTATGAAGTGAGCCAAAAAGCCAAGGATTGTCTTCTGGCTTTGGAGCTGCATGTTGCAGTACCAAAGCTGCAACATGCAAATCAAAACATCAAAACTTTGATCCCATGGATCAGAAGCGAGGGGAAAACATTGTTCCTTTATCACCTATGGTGAGTCTGAACTCATCCCATCTGGAAAGAGATTCAAATCTCCCACAGCAAGGCTCAACAAATAAAATGGCTTTTTTTTTTTTTTTACTAAGATCTCCACAACTACCACATATAGTATGTATGTAGTATGTATGTAGTATATGTAGTACCATATGTTCTGGAATATTATGTGCCACCCTTACGTGGTTTCAGGTTTCTGCCAATGGAGTGACAGAATCTTGGAAGTAACAACTTCTTATTACTCATTAAGAAGTGTGACTCATACAATTAGATTGTTCTGAGAACCAACAGAAACATGGTGGTACACTATCCTGACTTTGCTACAAATTTTGTGAAAATTTTGTGAAAAAAAAAGTTTATACAAAACACCTTGTAAATAGAGCAAAATTTTTACTATGTTCTATTCACAATTTACTCATTAAATTGAAGTAAAAGACAGGAAGCAAAGCTTTTGCATTAAAAATTGTGAAAAGTAGAATTGGGATTCGCTCACCTGCCTTGACAAACATATGAGCCAGTCCAGGTTTCATTTTGACGTTGGTCCACCCCTTACGGCTAGAGGAGCTTCACTTATTCTGCGAATGCTGTCCACCAGATTTAGGAGTGTATTTATGGAGATTTTTGACCATTCTTCCAGAAGAGCATTTATGAGGACAAATACTGATGCTGGAACAAGAAGGCCTGGCTTTCAGTCTGTGCTCTAATTCATCCCAAAGGTGTCCTGTTGGCTTAAGGTCTGGATTCTGTGCAAGTCAGTCAAGTTTTATCTTTGTGGACCTTGCTTTGTGCAATGGTACACAGTCATGTTAGCAGCGGAAGGGGCCACCTCCGAACTGTTCCCACAAAGTTGGGAGCATGGAATTGTCCAAAATGTCTAGGTATGCTGAAGCATTCAGAGTTCCTTTCACTGGAACTAAAGGGCCAAGTCCAGCTCATGAAAAACAGCCCCACACTATAATCTCCCCTCCACCAAACTTTACATTTGGCCCAATGCAGTCAGACAAGTACTGTTCTCTTGTCTGAAAAGTAGAACAGATCCAGACTCCGTCCATCCGATTTCTAGATGAAGGCGCATTCTCTGGAGTGACAATTTGCACCTCCACTGCTCTAGAGTCAAGCGCATCCAACGCTTCGTATTGCACTTGGTGATGTATGGGTTGGATGCAGCTGCTCAACCATGGAAATGAAGCTGTTTGAGTAACTGTTTTTGAGCTAATAGGAAGGCCACATGAAGTTTGGAAGTCTGTAGAAAGTTGCCAACCTCTTCGCACTATGCACTACAGCATCTGTTGACCCTGCTCCATCAGGTTATGTGGCCTACTACTTCATGGCTGAGTTGCTTTCGGTCCCAAAAACTTCCATTTTTTTTAGAATAGAGCTGATAGTAGTCTATGGAATATTTAGGAGCGAGGAAATTTCATGACTGAATTTGTTGCACAGGTGGCATCCTATCACGGTTCCACGCTGGAATTCACTGGGCTCCTGAGAGCAATCCACTCTTACACAAATGTTTGTAAAACCAGTCATCATGCCTAGATGCTTCATTTTACACACCTGTGGCCAGAGACGTGATTGGAACACCTGATTCTGATCATTTGGATCAAAATCCTGCAGCACATTATCGGAGGGTATGCACAAAACTATCACTTCACATGACCCATAAGAGCACAACCATTTCTCCAATGTGCATCACGTAGGAGCAACTGGGTGAGCAAATACTTTTGGCAATATAGTGTACATTGCCATATACAATGCTCAAAAAATAAAGGGAACACTCAAATAACACATCCTAGATCTGAATGAATGAACTAAATATGAAAATAATTTCCACCTGTTGTCGATTCCATTTGCACAACAGCAGGTGATATTGATTGTCAATCAGTGTTGCTTTCTAAGTGGACAGTTTGATTTCACAGAAGTTTGATTTACTTGTGGACTTATATTGTGTTGTCTGAGTGTTCCCTTTATTTTTTTGAGCAGTATATTATATACTATATAGTATTAATGTGCAGTGATTTAAAAGCAAAGTCACCAAGAGATTACTGGTGAGCATTTTTGATCAATTCAACAAAAAAACAAAACAAGATTGGGAAGAGACTATTACAAGCAGAAAATATGTGAAATGTCAAGTTTCACTGTGCCATGCATAACCTAATGCTGAAAAGTTTTGGATGCTTTTCAAAACAATTGTTACTTCAATTTCTGGAATGTTTTTTATCACTAAAAAGAAGAATAGGTATTCTATCAAATGCATAAAGAACCATCAAATGTTATGGTGACAGTAAGTTATTCAGCATGGTTTCAGTATTTCCTGCCCAAAGCTTTTGGGACAGAAATTATAGTAAAGATTTAGGAAGAGAATCTAATCCAGATATCATATTCGGTTGCAATATAACTTATGTAGCAGTTACAGTATATTATAAAGCCAGGAGCTATTGTGATAAGTAAATAATTGGAAGTAATATTTAAGTGAAATATACTAAAAGAGTAATACTAATGACATACTACTTTATTTTTATATTGGGTTCTTTCAATTGCTTCTTTTTTCGTAAGGCTTCAGTCACTAGAAGGAGTACCTGCGTGGAATATTTGAATTGTTCAAGGTCATTCTGAGAGGATCAACTTTTTTCATTACAGTAAATTTTGTATTCATTGTTAAATTTAGTTCAACTTCATCACGTTCAAGGTTTTCCCCATAGTTAGATGAAGCACAAGTGCTGCCAATTCCAGAGCTGTGTACAGGTGGTCTGATCCTCTTAGTCAACCATTCACCAACGTAGTTTTGTGCTTGTTGGTTCCTAAACTCTGAAATGCTGCCATATTCACTGCTCACTGAAAGAGAACATAAAATGTTTCACTGGTTAGAATGCACAAGAATAGGATGATGCAAAAAAATTTAGATTTATGGTTACAATAAACTTACTGTATGGAAATTTCTTGTCATCCATGCTCTCTGCTATCTCCACAGTAGGCACTGTTGCTTTCTCTGGTTCTTTTGCTAAAGCTTTCATCACTCGCTCTATCAGCTCGTACTCCCTTTTCTTCCATTCCTCTTCTGTCAGAGTGCGTTCTTTAGCTTGCCAAGACAGCAACTGAAATTTCTTTTGTTTGCCTTGAGCTGTGAAGCATTCCTTGTTTCTTGCTGCCATGTCAATAATTTTCTGGAGCAATTCTTTTATTGGAACAGGATCACCAAAATGATTGGGGTTTAGAACATGGTATCTGTTCCCACATTTCTCCAGAAGCTCTTGGATCTCTTTTCCCTCTCTGATGATGTGATTCTCCACAGGTAGGTCATTGAGCCAGTCTCCCCAGGTAAACAGCACCATGCAGTGTCTCCACACTCTCTCTGTTAATGGCTTCAAGATCTCCTCCAGAGCTTTGAGATCTTTCTCTGTGAAAGATCTGCAGATGGGAACAAGCAGGAGAAAAACATGAGGTCCAGGAGAAAACATGGAGACACTGTGGAGAACTTCATCTTTGATCCAGTCAGGTGGTGTTGTGCCTGGGAACCAGCCTGGTGTTTCAACAACTGAGACTTTTACTCCGTTAAAGTTTCCTTCATGTTTCACAATTGCTGTATTGTTTCTTTCACCGTCATCCTTCTGAAAAGATAAAAAAACAAAGACTATATTTTTGTCAAGAAGCCGGGGTAAGGAACAGACAGCAGCTCAGTTGACAAATTTTCAGTCTTGCATTGACAAAAAGGACATGAAGTACAGAATGGGAAGCATTGATTGAGAAATAGGCATGGGAGGAGAAAACACCAGCAAGGAATGACAGAAATTGAGAGATTTAAGTACTGAGAAGTATGTTTACTAAAAAAAGTGGTTGATTATTAAAATGGTACACATCTTACAGAAGAAATAACAAGTAGGTTCAGCCCATACAGAGACGAACACGAAACATTTTCATAAGTCATTAAGAACAAAATGTGTGTCCACAAGATATGCTAAAACACTGTAAAGTGCAACATCTTGTATCACCACCAGCCTGTAGCAAAATGTTGTGGCATTGTAACACTGCCACAGGACAACAGAATGGTGACATGGTTCTTATTTGTGATAATGAGGCTGATATAAGCTACAAAGAGAGAGAAAGCTATGGTGTCATTGCTTAAAAAAAGACACACACACTGCAACATAAAACTGAGATTTTGAAATGTATCCACTCTAACTCCAATTAAAAAAAAAAAAGATCCTTACTGGTCTCTCAAAATGCATGTACACCCACAACCAATGCAACAAAATACCTTTGATGATACACCTAATCTTGTCTCTGTGTGAAAGCAGCCTAAGGAAAGGGAACTAATTTACCCAGCAAATACTGAATTAAAGCTTATTAAGGAACAAAAATCAGAAACAACCAGACAGTAACTTAATCAAAAGATATACAAAGAGACAAAGAATAAGAATAAACTATGGAACTAAACATAAAAGAGTGAAATAATGTTATCAACATTAGTTTACTAATATTAACAGCAATAATAAACATGGAAAATGGAACTAATTATGTCAAGACCTGCAAAACATGAATAATCTAGAAAAAACAAAACTCAAAAACAGCAAAAGAATTTGACACAAACAGGATAAAAATACTGAATGAATGAATGAATATAAAGGCAGCCTCTCACATTACCTTATTCAACCAAGTTGTGTCAAAAGCCATATGAAATTTCTCATTGAAAAGGATCATATTTCCTGCCAGACTTTTTCCTGAACATTTTTGGCCCACAAGAATAATCCTGATGTCAGAGACTTGTTGTTTCTCACCTGAAAGAAATTACAGTGTTTTATTTACATTATTCTACACCATTGAGTAACCTGCATGTTTTGAATAAGTTCCTGCTTCAGCACACCTCATTTCAATGGATGACTTATTAACAGGTGTTTGCTAAACTGGGTAACACTTTATTTGATAGGAGGTGGATAACACTGACACTTTCATAAAGATGACATGACACCTGTCATGAACATGAAGGAGTCTTTATGAATGTCTGACTCTTGTCGGTAGTTAATGACATTTTTAATGAAAAAGTCACTCTTAAAGTTGCATTAAATGTCCATTAAAAATGCCAACTTTGCATTAAAGTGTCATTATTTACAAAATCACACTTCATGAGGACAGTCATAGACATTCATAAAGACTCCTTCATGTACATGACAGGTGTCATGGCATGTTTATGCACGGATGGAGAAATAAAGTGTCACCCTGAAGGGCAGTTATCTCAGTCAGGTGAGTTACAGCAGGAAAACATCTAAAACACGCAGAGCAGTGTGCCTTGAGGACCAGGGTTGGGAAACACTGAAAAAAAACTACAGCTATGTATGTTGTCATTTTAACACACCTCCATACACCTCCTTCAGGACTCTCATCTTTCTCTCATTGATCGTCTTCAACCTTTTGACCGTCTTGTCTTCAGTCTCTCTCTTGGTTTCTAGCTGTGCTGCTCGGTCCAGATCCACTTCATAGTAAGGATCTTCATTTCCTGCCCACATCTCTTCAATCTTTTCCAGTAGTTCCTTTACCTGAGTTTTATCACTGTGGTCATTGTTATTCAGGACATGATATCTGTTCCCACACTTGTTCACTATCCACTGCAGACCTTCTTCACTCTCTATACGCTCCTCTACAGACTTCACTCCTAACCAGTCTCCTCTTGTAAACACAACAATTGCATGTTTCCAGATTTCTTCTCTAAACAGACCCATGTGTTTTTTGACAGCTCTCTTATACATGTTGTTGATTGCAGTTGCCAGGACAATTACAAGAAGTACAGCATGTGGTCCTGGAGGACATAGATGAACACTGTTCTCTATTTCATGTTTATCCATCTTACTGGTGTCACGAAGGGTGTGGTTGTAGAACCATCCAGGAGAATCAACCACTGTGAGCTGTTTGCCTTGAAACAAACCATTGTTTATTTCACAGCATGTTGTTCTTCTTCCATTTTCATTAACTTCAAATGCATTCTTTCCAAGAATTGTGTTTCCTGTTGAGCTTTTAGCTGCATACTGTGCACCAACTATTATTAGTTTTAAGTGTTGTGGTACATCCATTCCACCTATAAAAGAAACAAAACACATTTATGAATACAATTACATTATAATCAAAATTATACCTAAATCCAACTATAAATGACTAAGTATAAAAATTTTACTTTTCAAGCCTTTTCAATTTGCCCTGTTCTGTGCCACACTTAATTGTTCCTGGGACTGCTCTATGGAAAGAAATATCAAATGGTATTTCTTCACCTGCAGCAACAACATGTTGCAATTATAGGCAACATGTTGCCTATAATATGCTTCCGAGGCATATTTGTAAAGTCTACATTAATGGTGGGCTATGTCCTCTCCAAAATGTTTGAGTTTGTACTATTATAATTAACATTTATAATTAGGCAAGTATTACCTCATAATTAGGCAAGTATTACCTCATTTCCTCAAGCCATTGGTAGAACCTCTCAATATCATCCTTCGTTAGTAAATTCTTTGCAGGGACCGACTCTTATGAACAGTTTCTTATATACAAGTTTATTGTAACCTAATATGCTCAGTAACACACGTAGAAAAGCCCACATTGTTCACTGAAATAACTTAAAACTAACTAAATTAATAGAAAAAAACATTTATTGAAAATTAACCAATAAAAATCCGACATTGTTTTTGAAACAAAGGCCTGAACAAAAAGGTGGTACATGTAACTTAATCAGTTAATTGATTAATTAATTGATTTAATAGACCCATAATTCATGTAGACGTAAAAAAACAACAACAACCAAAAAACAACAAGAAATAAAAAAGGGTCAAAATGCATAAAAGTCTTGTATACCAGCTTTTCCACAAAGACGACTGCTAGACTGGCAGAAGGATAGGACAACATTACAATAAGTCAGTTACAGGGCAACACAAAGGATAAACAACCATGCACACAACCTTTCACTCCTAAGGACAATTTATTTATCATTTTAAAAAATCAAGTTATTTTGGGCAATGAGGGGAATCCAAAGTATCTGGAGAGAATCTACATGCACCACGAGAATATCCTATACATGAAAGCTAACAGTGCAATTGTCATAGTGAAGCATTAAACTTATTCTGCTAAATGTGGTTTGTTTTTATATTACACCATTAATATTTTTTAATTACTACAGCTGCAGTGAAATTTGACAATGTAGCCTATAGAAAATGTAGACTATAAAAATGCCGTCTGCATCCTTCCCAACTTAGTTTTCACAGTAAGATGTGGACACAGCTTTTTCAACTGCCTGCTTAGCAGAGTTGTTCCTCTAGCTGACATTTATAACTGTTGTCTCTTATTAGCAAACAGGGAGAGACTGGGTGGATGGGTGGATAGGTAGGTGGGGTGGTAGATGTAGCAAAAAGTATAGAAATTGTTACCTACCTTCAATCAGGGCTCTGAGGTGTCGTCTTTGTTTTTGGACTTCATCAAGCCTTTTTGATGCTCTTTCAGCTAAAACTTTCATGTCTTCACTTAAAGCATTTCCATGAGAAATGTCAACTGAAAAGTGTCTGCCTCCATTTTGTTTAGCAATTGCTTCAATTTTCTCAATTAGCAATCTAACTTGATCTCTGTCTTCTCTGTTACTAATGTTGAGAAAATGTTTCCGGTTTCCACATTGTTGAAGAATCCATTGCAGGACAGGACTTGTTTTAATTTTAGATTGTAATTTTTTTTCACCATGTGAATTGACTGAAGTGAACAGCACAATGGTGTGACTGAAAACATCTCCATTGAAAAGACGAAGGTGCTCCTTTAACGATGGTTTGACAAGCTGAGATAAATGTGAATCAACAGGAATGACCAGAAGGAAGACATGAGGTCCTGGGGGACACAGATGGACACTGTTCTGGATTTCCATCTGGTCCAGTTTTGGTGTGTTTTCACGTGTATAAAACCACCACCAGCCTGGAGTATCAACCACTGTGACTCGTCTGCCGAACACGTCCTGCTGCTTCGCTTCACTCTGAGCTGTTCTTCTGCTGGTGTCAAAAACATTTTGACCCAGAATGATATTTCCAGCAGAGCTTTTACCACTGGAAATTCCATTTAATTCTCTTCCTCCTATCAACAAAATCCTCAGTTGAGGAGTACTGCTGCTCTGGTTTTCCTCTGTGAAGGGAAATAGGATCAACTTTACATCCCGTGTTCACAATCAGAATACTCTGTTTCAAACGAGTGCTAAAAGCTCCCTTTAAAAATATTCAACAAATGTAGCAAAACTAACTAATCTTCAAACATATCCAAATAACACCAGTAAAGACCAGAATATAAGTTTTATGAAAATGTTACGAACCAGAGTTTGTAGCAGCTATTTGATCGGCCATAGCTTGATGCTAACTCATAGGTGCGTTTCTCGTCTCTTGCGCTAAAATGAAAGTAAAAAGTAAAAGGCTGTTGTATGGCAGGCAGTTTTAACATGAAATCGGGTTCGTCAGACAGTCACAGATATCTCAAATTGGTGTTCTATCTAGTCAAAATATTATTAGAAATATCTTAATTTACTAATACGCCTAGTCATAAGCTAATATCAGATATCTGGAATATCAGGGCGGTAAAACAGAATTTATGTTCTCACCCCAGTATGTCATCACCGCTCCCATAGCCATGCGGCAGACCCTTTTATCATAAATTCTGTTTCGCCGAATTACATTTCAGACATCTGAAATTGGTTTATGACTAGTCATATTAGAAATGTAGTTTTTTCTAGTCATAATTCAAATGAAAGATATTACTTAAAGCTATCTTGAATGTATTTTTAGATAGGCGATATGTAATTTTGACTAGTGCGAATTAAATTCTATAGGCTATATCTTAAAAGCAATGACTAGACAAAACTAAATTAGAGGCCTATCTAGAATCAGGGTCATGATTCTAGATATCATGATCAAAGTTAAAAAGGGGTACATTGAACAAGATCTTAAAACACCGTACAACAACAGCAAAAACCCAAAAGTTCTTTGATTACTCAGACCATTATTTTGATAAAAGTGGTTAAATGTGATTTATGTTATTCTAAGAGCTTTACTTATGTTTTCCCTTGAGATATACATTATTTACTGTTAAACAATAATCATAACAAACAGCTTATGCTTGTAATTGTGTGTTTTATGTTTTTCATCTGACTTCAAGGGAAATTCCTTAAATTATTTGATCTGACAGAAAATAAATATTCTGCTACAAAGGCAACAAATCAAACATGAAGATCAATATTCCTCCCTTTTGAAGGATCAGAATAAAACAGTGTCACATTTATCTTACATAGATAAATAAACACAAACATATATGACCAAACAAAAATCTTGATTTTTATTTTGTGACCTGCATGTTTATGCCTAATACAAAAACAGATAAAATGACTAAAAAAGACTGTCAGAGAAAAAACTAATCAAACATAAAAAAAATAAAAAAAGACAACAGCTGTTGTCCAACAGACTTGGATGTTTGGAGGGATTAAATATTTTATTCTACCACATCTCTACAATACCTGACAAAAAATTTACTTTCTCAATTGATCAAGAGATTGTTTGATGACAAAGAGACACAATCTGTTTAGAAGTCAGACAGAAAAATCTAGAAATCTCATTAGGTTTTTGCTCTGCTGCAAAATATAGAACAAGCGTAACAGATGAAATTATGAGGTTTTGGCAAGAACAGCTTAATCATTTTACAGTGTGACAGAATAAACATCTAAAATGCTTTCAAACACAATCTTTCTGTACTCACAGAGGTTTAATTCTCTGAATTAAGAGTTGTAATTTAAGATCATTAAATTACAACCAGACATTCTCTACCAGCTGGAATTTGAACCTGCCAGTCTGGATTGTAAATGGGAAATCAAAAGTCTCATATCTGAAGATAGACTAAAACAAATTCACTCCCAGTCACAATTCAAGCATATTGAAACATACTAAGTCCATATCTAATCTTAGAACCATCTCTTCATTTGTGCTTTGTCTAAAAACAAACCCTTTAACTGCTTAATGATTAAAGTCTGATTTTCCAAAGTCTGATTAACTTCAGAAAATTATTGATTCACGCTTTTGTCCAACACTCTGATATGACTACTTTTGCAGGCTAAATGGAAATTTGAGAAGAGGTACACAGCAAGGCTTTTTTGTGCTTTGTGCATACATTGTAAAATTAGCCCAAAATGTTTTATAATCTCTTCTGACCCTTTCAACCCCTGGGCTTACAGTTTGTTGATAATCTAATGACAGAACTTGTTTGCTCCTATTAGGAATCACAACTTCCTGTTCCTGCAGTCCAAATGGTTGGTACTTTATTTTTTGCTGATGTTTATGTGATATTTTGTGAACTCCAAACGGGCTGAATCAGCAAATAGTGAGCGGATGGAACAGGTGTTACACCAAACAGTGTTCAAGCTCAAATCCAAAATAATGTTTTCTCAGTCACTGTACAAAGATCTTAGTAGAGTTGAAATAAGACAAAACTAATTTACAAGTAACTTCTCAGGAAGAAATAGGAGCTTGTTTTAAGTCAAAATTTTTTTATTATTAATCAAAGGTAAAAGTTTCATTAGCAGATGTTTTCACAGGAATGGAAAAACATGGTTTTCTATATTTAATTTACTCACTTTGAGAAGGATATTTTTTCAATGTACACACTGACATTATCAGCTATTGATTTTAAGGATGTTCATTTCACCTGAATTAGTAATAAGTATATAGTAAATATAACTCAGGTCCTTAAGAACAATTAGGAATCATAATTTCGTTGTTAAGAGTTCGTATTAAACCCCCACAAAAAATGACCTCACATCTGTTCTTTATATATTTATATAGCATCATTATGAGGAGTCATTTACAATTGGGAAATTTGAGCTTAAAAATTCAAAACCTTCTTTGAAAAAAAAAAAAACAGTTTAGCTCTAAAGCTGATGTCAGAAAAAGCTCCACCTTCAGTCTTTTGTTTTTTTCTAAAAAACAAACTCCATATTCATGTAATGATCAAATTGAGGCATAGTGAAATTCTGAATGTTAATGTTTCAACATTTGCACTACATATTCAAATATACGTGAATATTTTCAAGACCAAATGGAAATCTGATGCAAGGTACAAAACATAATAATGGTCTAGTATATACATTGATTAATAAATAATACTTTTATATAACCAGTCATAAGCAAATAAAAAGTTGTTGTTACTTATATGTGTTCTCTTTTGAATACAATCAACTTTTCATAACATTTATTCTCTAAAGTTGGTTTAAAAAGACAAGGTAAGTGTTTACAAATATTAAGCAATGTAAAAGAAAATAGGATGAGCTTTATATTAGGGTAATCAAACCTATTTGAAATATTCAGAATGATTTCTTAAAAGCTCAAATAACACAAGAATATAAAACTTACTGGATTTCACCATTCTAACATCAGTAAATGTCACCTGCTTCTAAATTAGGGAAAGCAAATCATTTTTTTTAAATATTTGCTTCTTTTTCCAGAAGAAACCCAAAAGAGAAGTGAGACGCCATTTTATTTTAAATTTGCAGCTTCTCTGAATTCAGAACTTTCGTCAAGGTTTTCCATGTAAGTGTTTGAAGAAGAAATGCTGCCGATCCCAAAGCTGATCTCTGATGGTCTGTGTTATTCAGCAAGTTGGTCATGCGCTTGTCGTCTGTTTCTCTGAAATGCTCCCATATTCTGAGGCAACATCTCCACTCACTGAAACAGACACTGCAGAGTTTTATTCAAGAGAAAAAAAGACTGTAAATTAAATCATTGTGACATAAAACTTACTATTAGGACCGTCTTCTTTGCTTTCTGCTGTTTTCACAAGTGGTGCTGTTGCTTTCTCTGATTCCTTTGCTAAAGCTTTCATTATTTGCTCTATCAGCTCCTATTCTCTGCTGCTCAATTCTTGTTCTGTAAGTGTCTCTTGTTATAGTGGCCAAAGGAAACTGAGAAATGTATTGTGTGTTTACTTTCAGCTGTAAAGCATCCTTTGTTTTACCATGTCAATAATTTTTTGGAACAACTTTTTGACTTGAACAGTATCACCATATCGATTGGGGTTTAGAACATGGTATCTGTTCCCACATTTCTCCAGAAGCTCCTGAAGCTCCTTTCCCTCTCTAACAATGTAATTCTCTACAGGGAGATCATTGATCCAGTGTCCCCAGGTAAACAGCACCATGCAGTGTTTCCACACTCTCTCTGTTAATGGCTTCAAGATCTCCTCCAGAGCTTTGAGATCTTTCTCTGTGAAAGATCTGAGATGGGAACAAGCAGGAGAAAAACATGAGGTCCAGGAGAAAACATGGAGACACTGTGGAGAACTTCATCTTTGATCCAGTCAGGTGGTGTTGGGTCTGAGAACCAGCCTGGTGTTTCAACAACTGAGACTTTGACTCTTTCAAACGTCCCGTCGTGTTTTACACATGTTGCAAATTTGTGATCTTGGTAGGTCTGAAAAGAAGAAAAACAAAAACAATTAATAAATCTACACTAAACAAAAATATGAACGTCCCATGTCAAATATGAGTTTTTTTATTTTTTAAATTTATGTTAGCCAACATATAGAGAAACTCAAACTATATTTTCAGTAATTACTGATCTTCATATTGGCATTGATGACTTTGTGGTATGGCCATTTGTGGCACATTGACACAAATGTGTCAACCTGACCCTCAGATAGGATCAGGTAGAGAAATTTACACACTGTGTGCAGTTGGCTTCTCATTGGCAGTGACAGACAGTCTGTGTTGTGTCTGTTGTGCTGGCCAATAGTCTCATCAGCTGTGTTGCTGGTCTTAGTCAGACCTGCAGATGGACCAGACAAGCCAGATGTGGTGATCTTGTGTTGGAGTGGTCATAGTCTTTTGGAAATTAACTCTTAAATGTCACCTACTGGACATGCCTCACTCAGGTACTGAGTAAAAAAAAAAGAAAACTCCCTGAGTAATACTCTCTGATAACAAGTAAAATTATATACAAGTCAAGAAAAATAATATTTTTGTACAATAAAATGTCACCAAATGCTCATTTACAGTTGTTAACTCCACATGGCAACAATATTTGACATGGGGCATTAATATTTTTGTTCAGTGTATAGTTGGCTGTACTTTAATTGGACATCTACAGTCAGGGTGACTGTATCAAAGCTTTTTGTTTTATCAGCATATTGTGTTACCTTTTTCAGCCAAGCTCTCTCAAAGGTCATTTTAAATTTTTCATTGAACAGAATCATGTTTCCAACTTCACTTTTCCCTGAACATTTCTGACCAACAAGAACAATCCTGATTTTAGTGATTGGATGTCTCTCGCCTGAAAAATGAAAAAAAAAATTACTATAATGTTTTTCATCTGAAGACACTTATATGACTATCCCATAAAATATGTCATATTTATTGCCTACCTTCAAACACCTCTTTAATTATTTGTGATTTTCTCTCATTGATCGTCTTCAACCTTTTGACCGTCTTGTCTTCAGTCTCTCTCTTGGTTTCTAGCTGTGCTGCTCGGTCCAGATCCACTTCATAGTAAGGATCTTCATTTCCTGCCCACATCTCTTCAATCTTCTCCAGTAGTCATTTACCTGAGTTTTATCACTGTGGTCCTTGTTGTTCAAGACATGATATCTGTTCTCACACTTGTTCACTATCCACTGCAGACCTTCTTCACTCTCTATTCGCTCCTCTACAGTCTTCACTCCTAACCAGTCTCCATAGGTAAACACAACAAGTGTGTGTTTCCAGATTTCTTCTCTAAACAGACTCATGTGTTCCTGAACAGAACTCAGATATGATTTATCAACATTGATTATGACAGGAATAACCAGCAGCACAGCATGTGGTCCTGGAGGACACAGATTCACACTGTTTTCTATTTCCAGTTTATCCATCTCACTGGTTTCCTGAAGGGTGTTGATGCAGAACCATCCAGGAGAATCAACCACTGTGAGCCAACTTCCTTCAACCACACTGTGTCTGATTTCACTGTGGGTTGTTGTTCTTCCTTTCTTATTAACATCAAAAGTTTTTGTTCCCAGGATGGTGTTTCCTGTTGAGCTTTTGCCAGCCAGTGAATCTCCAATCATCAATATTCTCAAATGATCTGGAGGAACTTTTCCACCTAAACCAACAAAACAGAAACAATGTTATACTGAAGGTTATGTGTGATTTTTTCACAGATGTGAATCCTGAAACATTTCCTTTCTCCAACATAGATTTAGAACAACAACTAGTTGTTCTAGATCAAATTTACCATGGAGGACCAGGGAGAAACAAAATTGAATTATTTTTTTTGTTTAATACATATATCAAAAAACATCAATATTAAGTGAACTAAAGAACCAAGGAGCCTCTTGTGGCTCTGGAGCTAAAGATTTCAGACTCCTGATCTAGCAGATGAAAGCTCTGACCCTATCTCAATATGGCTGAAGCTTAATTTTTAATTTATTGTTCAAGTAAAACTTTGAAGGTAAAAAAAGGCATTGGTATAATTAATTTTTTATTAGATTTTTTGCCAGTACACGTCATCGTAAGAAATTAATTAGTAGAGGCATAGCAATCGCCTCAGAATTGAAGGAAAAACATTTTTCAGAGCTCATTTGAGGGATTTTTTTGTCCTCCATCATTCAATTACCCATAACCATCTACAGTAGGGGTCTCAAATTGTATTCCTCAAGGGCCAGTGTCCTGTAACTTTTAGATGTCTCTCTGCTTCAGTACATCTGGCTCCAATTTAATCATTTAATTAAAGTGTACAGGACAAGCAATACATCTAAAAGTTGCAGGACCAGAGTCTGAGGATCACTGTAGTGTATTAGAAACAAAATAACTCGAAACTTGCCTTTAATTAGTTCTTTGAGTTTGCTTCTTTGTTTCTGGACTTGATCAAACCTTTTTGAGGCTCTTTCACTCAAATCTGTCATTTCCTTTCTCAGAGTTTCTCCTTGACTTCTGTCAGCAGAACAGTGTCTGAATCCATTGATTATAATCAGGGCCTCAATTTTCTCTAACAAGATCTTAACTTGATCTCTATCATCTCTGTTACTGATGTTGAGAAAATGTTTTCTGTTTCCACATTGCTGAAGAATCCACTTCAGGGTTGGACTTGTGTTGATTCTTGATTCAACCTCTTCATCACTACATGGAGCGACTGCAGTGATCAGCACAATGGTGTGACTGAAAACATCTGCATTGAAAAGTTTCAGGTGCTTCTTTAGTGATGATTTGACCCACCGTGGTAAATATAAATCAACATTAATGACCAGAAGAAAGACATGAGGTCCTGGGGGACACAGATGGACACTGTTCTGGATTTCTATCTGATCCAGATTTGGAGTTTCTTCTTTAGGCCAAATCCACCACCAGCCTGGAGTATCAACCACTGTGACTCTTCTGCTGAACACTTCCTGCTGCTTCGCTTCACTCTGAGCTGTTCTTCTGCTGGTGTCAAAAACATTTTGACCCAGAATGATGTTTCCAACAGAGCTTCTACCACTGAGACTTCCATTTAACCTTCCTCCTATCAACACAATCCTCAACTCTGTAGCAGGGTGACTTTCTGCTGTAAGGAGAGAAATAAGGCAAAAATTGGATACAGTTTAAAAACACCTACTTTGTTTTGACCTGCACAGAATGTACGTTTTTAATTCGACCGTATTTCTATCTGAAAACATCTACAATAAAATGTATGCAAAATTAACCTTAAACAAAAATAACTAGAAAAGGTGAGGTAGCCATTTCCTCCCCCTCCCAACACTTGCACAATCTTTCTTTGAATTTATCAAACTGTCAGTAAAATGAGTTTATAAAAAACACAATCATAAACAGGATAAAGTTTACAGAGAGTTTTATGAAAATGTCACAGACCTAATTTGAAAACATCAGCTGAAGCAGCCATTTCATTAGCTTCACTCCCCCGACGTTTCTGCTTGTTCCTCCCTTTTCCTAAATGAAACTTAAGTAGTTCAAAGGTAATGTTGATGATTGACATAGGAAAGTCAAACATGGTCAGAGATCGCCATCTGCTGGAGAACGACAATAACTGCATTTCTACTCTAACAACCTAAAGGGACTGTATAACAATTAAACTGAAACTTAACAAATCAATAAACATTTCCCCAGCAAGGACCACGCAACAAAAATATAAGTTAAAAAATTTATTGTAGGAAGGGAATGAAAGGACGAATGAACATGACTTAGTCTGAACATCAGCTGGTTGCTTTAAATGTTTGAATATTGTAGTTTACCCATTTAAAATGTTTGCTGATGACTTAATACTTTTTTGTAGCACAAATCAGAAGTTTAGACTCAGGGCTGAAACTGTTATGTTTGGTACAATTTAAAATTTCACAATGTCATAAGGAGACAAAAACCTGATGAAACAATTGGCTCTCAGCTGAGACATCTCTCACTTCGAAGTTCTTTCGATGTGCTACTAATTTGAGAAACATAACCACTTCTTCTCACACTAGACAGATGACCATACTTTTGGTTTGTAACTCCAAAACTATAAAACACATGTAATTATTAGCACCACCAGGGAATTGTTAAGCCCTTTCAGAATTATGTTAATTTATAAAAGTGTCACTCAATGAAGTTACATAAATTAGACTTGTCTAACCGTTTAGGATATAAAATCTTGTTTAAATGTGAAAAAGAACATAATGGGAATAATTTTTATGCATATCAGCAAATAGTATGCCTTATTTCTTTCTATTCCTAAACTGAAAATGTATAAAAATATATTGTATAAATATATTTATACAAATAAATTGTATAAAAAACAAAGTTGCATGACTTTGTGTTTTTGTGTTTATGATGTAAAGCACTTTGAAATGCCTTGCTGCTGAAATGTACAATACAAATAAAATTTGATTGATTGATTTGATATAATTTGTACATATTCTTAATTATTTCAATTGAATTTTAATATTAATTTCTGATTATATGTCAAGGTTTACATAAACGTGCCTGCCAATAACTTATCAATGCACAATTAAGTAACTGAATGGATGAATCATGAATTAAATATCGAGTATGCTGTCCATGGACAAAGATATAATACTTATGTAACCAGGTCCTTTCTGGGTTGTGCTGGTTTTTATTAAGTGATCAGGCCGTGATACGGTTTGTCTTTAAAAGGGTGGCGACGGCGTCTTGATTTATTCTGTCGAGAACATACAGAAAACAATCGTGTTATAGGCAGCCTATAACAGCCTATAACATGACAACCGGGGGCGCGGAGGACCATGTTTCACAACTTTTAAATAAGCAAAATAAACTTTTTTATACAACATACCTGACGAGAACAACATACAGAAAACAACCGTGTTATAGGCTGTCCGCTCTAAGTCTTGTACAAACAAAAATACATAGCAGAAATTGACTTCATAAATCTATAAATAGACTGGACGTATTTAGATTTAAAAAAAAATAGTACACACCTCTCCCGCAGGACAACATGACAAAACGGGAGGGCCTAAGGGGCGCAAACACTTTAAAGACAATACCACAGAAGAAGAAATAAAAAGGAGGGGTATCCGCTCTTAAAGTAACACTGTTAAAACAATAATTTTTCAGTTAGGTAAGGAACAATACAAATAACCATAAAAAGACATTTTGTGTAATTATAACAAAAGAGGAAATTCAGCCAGGTTACATTTACAGAAATAAATATGAATGCTAAAAACAACTATATGAAATTTAAAGGTTTACACACTTAATAGTCAACTGAATCAAGCATATATGTATTAATTTTATGTGTGTCTTTTATTTTATTTAACTCATTTCTATCAATGTTTTGATATTTATACCATTTAAACTACAGAGGTCGCTGTGAATATTCCTCCTCCACCAAATGAGACCCCGGACGCCATCTTTATTGTTGGTGAAATACGTCAGAAGATGACGGGCTGTTTTTCTTGTCTCTGATTGGCGGAAGGCTGTCTCGGGAAAGGTCACGTAAATTTGGCGCTTTTCGTTCACCAGCAGTCTGGCGCGTTTTTGAAACGGCAGAGAAATGTCAAGAAAGCTGCTTCAGTTTGCTGCAGCCCCTGAAATATCACAGTGAAGACCTTCTTGCTTCGTTCAGATACCCGAGCCTGAACTGGAAAATGCTCGGAGAACTTTCAGGAGCTGCGCATGGACCGGCGACAGTGAGACTTAGTTAGCTTGTTGTTTTACAGTGAAACCTACTGACAACAAACACTGGTCTGCTCCGAACTATGAATGATACGGTTCCTCTTTATTTACACACAAAGTAGCAAATAAGTAAACAGTCCCAGACGTTGGAGCAAGCTGCGGGTGTAACATATTGGTGAGTGTTTACTTTAGCTCTCTGTTGTTGTATCAATCCGCCAGTTATTTTAAACCAAACTAGAGAAGTTTCTGGCCGCCATATGAACTATAACAATCATTTACGGCTGCAAATAAACACACTAACCCTGTAGTTTACATTTACGTTACATTATGTAAAAGTTGTCTGGCTGTACTTAAATGGACTTTGTTTATAAATTATTATTCAAGCATTTAAATAAGACTGTCAAGATGTATAGGGATTTCTAAGTGCTGTTGTGAAAATAGATCTAATGAAACAGGCCTGTCTCTGAAAACATCAAGATTTATTGTTTACCAATAAACAATAGAAATTAATATGCTTTTAGACCTATAATAAATGACAACTTATCATATAAATTCATGTTTCATATGTATTAACTTAATACACGATATGTTTACAAATCTAAACATTTCTTTCAGGGCTCCTGAAATTATGGCTGGTGTTGTGGCTATGGCTTCTGTCATTGAGGACTTTGACACTCAGGTAGAAATCATAATTATTACAGGTTTATACAGTTGTTGTTATTGAAAGTAGTGTTATCTTAATCATTACAATTGTTTTGTTTTACAGTGCTTATGCGGATTGTTTATGTGTCCATTCCACAGTTTTGTTTGTAATGATTGCTATACTTCCAGCTGAACAATGCTTGATGAAACATAAATGCAGGAGATCCTTTGTAATTGAGAAAAATATTGTCTTACTGGTTTTAATGAAACTGCAATGCCCTATGTATAGAGATCAGTGTTACTTTTGACAATATGTTTAACTTAGCTTTAAATATTATTCAGGAGAGTGAGTCATTTTACTCAAGTTTATTTGTATTGCACATTTCAATAGCAAGGCAGTTCAATGTGCTGAAATGTTACAGCAAACATTAGTTTAATCATGTTTTATTTCACAAAATTTACTCTAAATATCTTGACTAGACTTACTGTCAGTTTATTCAACTAAGATGTTTAGACAAAGAGAAAGATTTTATTTAGATTTCCTTAAATAATATATTTTCCCCATTGTGAGACATTTAACCAATGATAGAATAAAATTTAGTTTAATCTCTGTTATATATACCATGGAATACTTATTTTTGTCATTTCAAGCACCTTTATAATTCCCTTTTTATGCTCACAAGTGCAAAACTTGATTACTTAGATGTTTATAAATCATCCCATTTGTTTTTTCTCATTTAACAGCCTTGCAAAAAATCTCGCAAAGATGTCAAGCAGATCACAAACTATTTCTCGCCTGTTCCCAAACCTGTGGAGAAACCCTTCTCTCCTCCTCGGTCCAACAACATCACGGACTACTTTAGTCGAAAGACTTCTTCTAAAGAAAAATCAAGTCCGCCGCAAGACCTCAAAGAAAACAGTCAAAAACCTCAACCTGAAGAGAAACGCACCAACGCAGAAGTGGGGAAAAAGTCATCTGAGAAACGTGGCAGAAAGACCAGCAGAGCTGCGAAGAAACTTGTGCCGACTGAAGATGTTGGTGCCACCGATGACTGCTTGATTGTTGAAGAAACACAGGAGAGCAAAGACTCTACATCAGATTCAGCTATCAGCCATGGGACCCTTGGAAGTGACACAGCAGCTTTGTTGTTGAAGCTCAGTGCAGATACATGTGAATCAGAAATTTGCAAAACTGCCAGTGATGAGAAAACTGAACGAGATTCCCCTCAACAGAGAGATCACAAATGTGAAAATACTGATGATGTAGAAGCAAAGCGAAACACTACAGCATTATCTCCAAGATTTGAAGTAAAACAGGTTAAAAAGGCAGCAAGAAAACCTACAAAGAGGCAGCAAAAAGAGTCAAAGCATCCAGAGCCAGAGGAGAAGGAAGCGGATAGATCACTTTGTGATGTTAGTATGAACGTCAGCTTGGGTGAAACCTCTGAGCTGAACAGCAGTACTGTTACCATCTCCTTTGAGGATTTTGTGCGGAGTCAAAGTCAAAGCATGATAGAAGACCCAGGTGAAGAAGATGATGGTAAAAACTTAGAAAAAGCAGATGAATTAAATTGCGAGCAACTGGATGTCCCCAAGGTTGAGGAAAATGTCGGCCCAGTTCAAGTCTCACCCCGAACTCTCACCATTCAGGCAGAGGTGCATGCTGTTTCACCCAAACAGGAAGCCGTAAAAGCTGTGGGAAAGTTTGCTTCAATCTTCACCAGGAGAAAAGGAGCTGGTAGTCCAGCAGAACCTGCTGCTTCTCCTCCAGCAGACGAGATACGCCAGCTTCCTTTGACTTCTTCAAACAGCAAACGAAGGTCCAACGTTGTTCTTCAAGAGGAGGATCTGGAGCTGGCTGTGATTGAGAGCGAGTCAACTCCAAAGTGCAGTGAAGCCGAAAGGAAGCAGTTCATGGCTGCTTTTAAGCAGCCCAGTCTGGAAGGGTCCAAAGCTAAACCAGTGAAAAATCAAGGCAAACAGAAGCAAGCTGAGGAGAAGGCAGTGGAGGCTGCTGAGGATGGAGATGTTTCAGTTCCTTCTGCAGAGCAAAGCCCTCAGGAGAGCAAAACATCCAAAAAGAAAAGTGGGAAAAAGGGAAGAATTAAAGCTAACAATAAGCAGGAGGAGATCCACACAACACCTGCTGCAAAAGAAACCGAGATCATAACAGTAGAAGCAGAAGATGACAAAGAAGAACCTTCCATCACCTCAACTCCTACAGCTCCAGCTCTGAGGAGATCTAGACGAGAGATTGTGGTTAGAAAATCACCTGAAAAAACCCCAACACGTCCTGTGAGGAAAACCAGGAGACAGAGTGAGTCCAAGAAGACTTTAAATGCTGCTTCACCTCAGATCAGCCCTGTGAAGTTGTTCACTCCGAAGACACATAGATCCAGACATGGTGTCTTTGTAGCACAGATGATTTGTCCGCCAGATGCAAATGGAAGTCCAATCAGGTAACGCTTCATTTAATTATGTATTTCAGTGTATGTGTCTAAAACAGCTGACATATTTTCTTTTTTTATTTAAAGAATTAGACTAAGTAGAATTCAAGAAACGGTTCCAGCATCAAAGACTGAAAGTGGAAACGATTTAACCACTTCTTCAAATAAAGTAAGTGATATTTTACTTAGAAATCAAATGCATTTAATTGTTTTTAAAACATTGATTTATCATTTCTGACCTGTGATTTCCTTTTAAGATACTAAATGAGTCCAAGAAAAGACAGCAAGCAAAGAAACTGGTGGAGAAAGCTAAAATGATTCAGCAAAGCAAGAAAACTGCAGAGAAGGAAACGTTGAGACGATCATCTCGAAATAAAACCTCCGTCAAGAAGAGCTACTGTGAAGATGAGGTAAAGTTTTACGATTAATATTATAAACTGTACTTGATGATATTGTCAATATTTATTAGGGATTATTTATAAACAACATTTCGAAAAATGTAACATAAAGTACCGCTGGGAGATTGTACTTGTTAGTGGATTTTAAGACTTCATTCGTTTGTCTTTTAGGATTCTGTTGTCTGCATCGAAGATTTGACCGATACTTCCCAGAATGCACTAGAAAAGACTAAAACCCAGAAGGCCTTGCGCAGCCTGAATGAAGTTCTTGGCAAAGCTGCACCATCTGGCAAAGCTACCCCAGGTTGTTATTTATTTATTTTTTTTACTTTTTGTCGTTAACTTTTTACCAATATTTTTAGCAATCTTGTGTGTTTTCGCTACATCAGGCTCTAAAGTCACCTTGTTTGGTCAAGACAAGTCGGCCCGGAAGGCGTCGGCAGTGATTTCCATCTTTGATGACAGCAGTCGTGAAGGATCTGACTGCTCTCAGGACGACGAACAGTTCAGAGCGCGCAGGGAGTTCTTAAAGAGCGGTCTGCCCGAGTCTTTTAGGAAACAGATAGCAAAGACTGCTGCCACCAAGGAGGCCTACTCTGCCTCCTCTTCATCCTTTCAGCCCGTCTCACACACAACACAACC